TTTCTTTTATAGAACACAAGCAACAAAAGAAAATAATGACTAAAACTTTTAAACCAGTTTTAAGTACTCAAGCAAATACTGGATTTTTAGGAATGTTAGTGTGTAATGAAAGTCTCAAACAGATAACTAATCTTGTGATCTGGCGTTATCATCATGAAAGACCACTCCCTTTATGATTATCAATGCCAGCCGTTTTATATTTCTATTTCTTGCTTGTCTCATTATTTATTGGTAGTAGAGATCCGAATCGATGGTTTTACCCGGCTGTAAAAGCTCATGATAAACTTTCAATACCACCATACACACAGCATCATTTTACTGAGTGTTAAACGAGATTTCGCTTTAGTCTGTAAACAAAACACATACCAATACAGATAAAATCACGTTTCTTGTATGGTCTTCATACAAGAAACGTGATTTTTTGGGTCCTTTAATAATTTACTTTGTTTTCTTTTTTATTTTATGTTGTTATAGCAGCAATATAAATACATATTCTGTGAAAATACTACATATTACGGTTCATAAGATACAGCCTACTGACAGACAGACGGAGCGATAGTGGAGACTTGGGTCCCGTTGATACTCTTTGGGTACGGAACCCTAATAAACGGCAATTATGTCATTTGAGCAATACTACAGAAATAAATATTAAATAATATAGAATTAGGTTATATTATAATAAGTTAAATTTTTTTTTAGGTTATATTATAAAAAGTCTACGAAAAGGCCTGTGGTTTTTTGTTACGCACGAAGTTGCGTTACATACGTTTTACTTATTTCTTTTTTTCTTTGTTGTTTTTAAGTTGTAACCACCGCCAATTTTTTTTTGTCAATTGAAAGTACACGGCGATAATATCTGCATCAAGAAGTTTTATTTTTCTCCTCGAATTAAAAAGTATTCATGGTCAGCTGCGAGCCGGATTCTAGCGGCTATTGAGGATTTTCATCGAGAAATTATAATCTACTGAATATCTACGTAATTAGAGATTTACAACAAGTATATACAACTTGGAACGTCCGGGGTCACCTTGAAGACGGAGACAAAGAAATTTTGAAGAAAACAAAAGGAAATACCATTATAAGAAAACAAAAATAAAAAATAAAAACCAGTGCAGTGTTTTTATTTTTTATTTTCGTTATATTTAGTGATAATTTCTCAATAATTGTTCAATTTCCAGATATTGTTATAATTTTCGCCTGTATCTCAAAATGACCGATGAAAGGGAATTAATTAAAAAAAGGGCAAGTTACAAAGGTCGATTAACGGCATTCAATAATTATCTCAGTGAATTAAAGGATACATTGAGCTCGTCTCATATTAGCGAACTGCAATTGCGCGTAAGTAAAATTGAATTATTATACGAACAGTACGATGAGGTTCAATTGAAATTGGAGTGTATAGTGGACGATATCAATAGTCAAATAAACGAGCGGAATGATTTCGAATCGACGTATTATAAAATTCTTTCGAAAGCTCACGAACTTATTCGACAAAATAAAAATAATCTTGAATGTTTAGGCAGTGAAAAAGATTTTTCACGTATTAACAATAATAAGCTTGTTAAATTGCCTACTATTCAGCTTCCGAAATTTAGCGGGTCGTATGACAACTGGCTTGAGTTTCACGATACTTTTTCTAGCTTAATACACTCAAATGATGATATCGATGATATCAACAAGTTTCATTATCTTCGCGCGTCGCTCGAAGGGACAGCCGCCGTCGTAATACAATCTATTGAATTTTCGACGAGTAATTATTCGGTGGCTTGGAATTTATTATGCGGACGTTTTAATAATAAACGTATTTTAATTCAAAACCATGTAACGGCATTATTTAACATTGAGGTAATTACTAAGGAATCGTCATTCATTTTAAAGCGCATGATAGACTCCGTGAGTAAAAATCTACGTGCACTTGAGTCATTAGGTGAGCCCATAAATCACTGGAACACCTTACTCATCCACATTATTACTCACAAATTAGATAGTAAGACATACCTACCGGGAATGGGAAGAGTACAAAGGTCACTTGGATAATAACAAAATTATTTCATTTGCGTCATTTTTATCATTTATACAAAATCGTGCAGATCTATTAGAAACTTTGGAACTGTCTCGCAATCCTCAAATTAACCAAAATAAAAATAAAATTAAAAGCATGGTGTCAGTCACTAAGACCCAAAATCGGTTAAATGAGAAAAGCGAAATGTCTCAGTTCAAACTTTGCCCTAACTGTAAGGCTGAGCACAGTCTAAACAATTGTTCAAAATTTCTAGGGCTTTCTTCTGAACAACGATTAGAATTATTACCGCAGTTTAAGGTTTGTTATAATTGTTTACGTTTTGGTCATTTTGCAAACCGTTGTAAGTCGAGTGGCTGTAAAGTGTGTAAAAGAAAGCACAATACTTTGATTCACGTTTCAGATATGAAGCTCAAGACAACTCCCAATTTATCTTCTCGCCCTGAGGACGGTCCACTATCTCTCCCTGGTACATCGTGCGAAGATGAGCATATCGGTAATAATAATATCACTTTGTCTGCGCAAGTATCGACCTACCTACGAAATAAAAATCAGGTACTTTTAGCCACTTCCCTTATAAAAATATACGGTCACAATAATAAGGAATACTTAGCTCGCGCTATTCTAGACAGCGGTAGCACTTCTTGCCTAATTACGGAAAGATTGAGTAAATTATTAGAGTTACCGATAGTTAATGTTAACGAATCTTTATTAGGAATTAATAACTCTAAGTCTCACATAGGCAAAATGTGTTGCGTGCCTATAAAGTCTTTGAACGAAAACTTTAATACTAATTTATTTATTTATTTATTTACACTTCATACAACATGATGTATAGGCGGACTTAATGCCTGAGGCATTCTCTACCAGTCAACCTTTGGGTGATGCAGAGATAAAAATAAGAAGTAGGTGTGTGAAACGCTAAAAGACAAGAAAATAAATTAAAGTATATAAATATAAAACAATTATAATACATATACCCATACATAAACTTACAAATCAAAAATTGTTTAATATATGCATAGTATTATATATAAGTTATGTACATAAAATAATAAATTACATACAATATATAATTACATATTTATATAAATACATATAAATGAATACTACAAATGAGATGATTCTGCCAGTTTATTAAAGTAATATTCACGAATTTTCTTCTTGAATGCATAACGATTATTAGCCGTTCTAATTTCAAGAGGGAGTGCGTTCCAGAGGAGAACAGACTGTACAGTGAAGGAAGAATGTAGGAAGCCAGATTTATGAGAGGGACACTTTAGTAAAAGGTTGTTCGAAGAACGCAGGTTTCTGTCATGGCTAGAGCAAAGGTACTGGAAATGAGAAGTTAAGTAAGAGGGGGGAGTAGGAGACATCAGAATGGAGTATAGGGTTGTGAGTGCGCGCACACTTCGTCGCTGACGAATGCGCGACTTAAGCCACTTAAGTTGGGAACGATAAGTAGACACATGGTCATACTTACGAAGATTAAAAATGAATCGAATGCAGTTATTAAGAAGACGATCATATTTGTCAAGAAGATCTGCATTCAGGTCAAAATAACACACACCACAGTAATCAATCAGGGTATGAATTAAAGATTGCACAAGTAATGTTTTGGTCCCGGATGGAAGGAAATTTTTCAGACGGTAAAGAGCCCGTAAGGTACCGGTGACTTTCTGGCTAACATTTGTCACTTGGGCATGCCAGCTCAAAGTGGAGTCAATGTTTAAGCCAAGATCCTTAACCGAAGAACATAATCCCAAAACAGAACCGTTGAAAATGATCGCGGGAAGAGCTGTAGTGTCTACTTTTTTAATTGTGCGATGGCTACCTAGTATTATTGCTTGACACTTGGATGGATTAACACTTAAACCGAACCTGTCAGACCAGCTCTTAACATGCTCTAGGTCCTTGTTGACCATATCCACTGCGACGGACAAACAATCCACATTCGCCTGTGCGTACAACTGTAGGTCATCGGCATATAGATGATACGCACACTGGAGGTTGTGGGTGATAAGATTAATAAATACTGAAAATAACAATGGAGACAGAATACCGCCTTGAGGGACACCAGCATCTATGTCACACTAATCTTTTCTGTTTCGTTTTGCCTCATATAACGGACGAAGTACCGAGTCAGGAAATACCTTTAAACGACATTAACATACCTAGTAACCTCTGTTTAGCAGATCCCCGCTTCCACACGCCATCGTCGGTGGATTTAATTATTGGTGCGGATGTTTTTTGGGACCTATTAGGGGTACGTAAAATTAGTTTAGGAAACGGAAAGCCGGTACTCATTGAATCTAGGTTAGGATGGCTAGTCTCAGGCCCCTTAATTAATAATGGCCAAGTACCGTATTCGATTTCTAACACTAAGTCGTTTTTAGTAAAACTAAATTTGAGGGAAAACGTCTCTTCGCACAATGATAATAACGATGATATTCAAAACCTATTGACGCGTTTTTGGCATCTAGAGGAGGTTTGCCATGATACATCAGTTCTCTCCGCGGAGGAGAATATGTGCGAAGAACATTTTATTAAAAATACAACTCGTCTACAAGACGGTCGTTTCTGTGTGAGAATACCACTGAAACAATCACGTGATAATTTAGGCGGTTCCCTACAACGCGCCAAGCTTTGCCTCCTTTCTCTTGAGCGTAGGTTTAAGGGTCAACCCAAATTTAAAAATAATTATACTCAATTCATGTCAGGGTATCTAACACTAGGACACATGTCTGAATGTTCATTTGATCCACGGAGGTTAGCATATTTTATACCACACCATGGAGTGATTCGCGAAAGCAGCTTAACGACGAAGCTCAGAGTTGTTTTCAATGCGAGCAGTCCGACTACTTCCGGTATTTCATATAATAATTTGCAATTAGTGGGGCCCACTGTACAGGATGATCTGCTATCTATACTAGTTAGATTCCGACAACATAAGTACGTGCTATCAGCAGACGTAGAAAAGATGTATAGACAGATCGTCGTACATCCTGATGACAGACCTCTCCAACAAATAGTTTGGAGAAATGATCCATCAGAGCCCATGAAAGCGTACCAGTTAAACACCGTTACGTATGGCACAGCCAGCGCACCCTATCTCGCCACCAGATGTCTTAAGCAGATTGGTATGGATTGCAAGGACGATAAAATCTCCGAAATAATAATCCATGACTTCTACGTCGATGACCTATTAACTGGAGGGGACAGCATTCAAGATGCGCTGGACATACATAACAAGGTGTCTTCTGAACTGGCCACAGCTGGTATGAACCTCCGTAAGTGGAAATCAAATGAACCTCGAGTAATACTAAATAATAACAATTCATCTCTCGACTTAAATATTGGTTCTACGGAACCCTGTAAAACATTAGGTCTCAGCTGGCAAATCGAGTCTGATGAACTGTATTTTTCGACGAGTGAAATCGTTTTAAATAATTTTACAAAACGTGGATTACTCTCGGTTATTTCACAAATCTTTGATCCACTGGGTCTTCTGACCCCATGCATAATTTCTATGAAAATTTTAATGCAAAAATTATGGTTACTTAAACTTACATGGGACGAACAGTTGCCTTCGGAAATAATTAAATTATGGCTTTCAATTGTAGAAAACTTATCATTTTTAAACAATTTAAGAATTCCACGCAGTGTTATCTGCAATCAATATATTAATGTAGACTTACATATTTTTAGTGACGCATCTCAAGTGGCTTACGGAGCATGTCTGTATGTCCGTAGTTCTAATAATAAAAATAATGTGATGGTGCGTTTACTTTCAGCCAAAAGTCGCGTAGCTCCCATAATGCCGACTACAATACCACGGCTTGAGCTCTGCGCTGCACTTGTCGGTGTCCGTCTCTATGAGAAGGTGATAAGTTCGCTTCGAATCCAAGTAAGATCAGTAATTTTTTGGTCAGATTCGACAATCGTTTTAGGTTGGTTAAAAATGCTACCTAACAAATTACAACCTTTTGTTCGTAATCGAGTTGCCGAAATTTTGGAAAAAACAGGTTCATTTACTTGGCGACATGTTCCCACTGATCTCAATCCGGCAGACTATGTTTCCCGCGGTACGAACATAAATCAAATTCATAATCTTGACTTATGGTGGTCTGGTCCACAGTTTTTAAAGGGTGACATGTCTAGTTGGCCTGCTAACCCTATTGTAAGTGATAAGCTACCAGAAACTCGCTCAGAGATTTCTTTAGTTGTTACCGATCAGAAAATACCTTTAGGTAATTGACTTTGAGAGATTCTCTAATTTTATAAGATTACAACGTTCTATGGCCTACGTGTTAAGATTTATTAATATTTGTAAAAAGAAACCGGTACAAAGTAAATTTTTAAGTAACGACGAACTACATAATTCTTTAAATACTTTAATTAGATTGTCACAAATTGAGTCATTCGAGGGATATGTGACCTTATATAATAACAAAAAATTGCCTTCAAAATGTACTATTTTGAAATTTAATCCTTTCCTAGACGAAAATAAAATAATGCGTGTCGGTGGTCGTTTAGGAAATGCATTATTTACTTATGAAAAGAAACATCCGATTATGTTACAGTCCACTAATCGTTTTACCAAATTATTGTTTAAGTATATGCATGTCAAGCTTTTACACGCCGGTCCTCGTTTACTATTAGCTTCAATTAGAGAAATGTATTGGCCCATCGGAGGCCTCAAGTTAGCTAAATATTGTTATCGACAATGTTACTTATGTTGTCGTTATAAGGGAAGGGTTATAAATCCACTTATGGGCAATCTGCCTCAGGGTCGAGTGACTCCCGGCGGTTTTCCCTTCGAGAGCGTTGGCGTCGATTATGCTAATAGTGTAGTTGTACCACTTCTAGACCACCTGAGTCAGACGTGGTTCAACGACGTTCGTCGAGTTCTGAGAGATATTCCTTGCTCCATCTTCTCCAAAAATGTTGACGAAGTTGTTGGATGCGTTGGTATCGACTCAGTCTACTGCTAGGGACTTCTTCATAATTTTGAGAAGGAAGAGAGGTGATGGGGCGGCCGATGAGGAAATGTCCCGGGGTTAATGGCAGTAAGTCATCAGGATCCGTGGAGAGAGGTGTCAGCGGACGAGAGTTCAGTACACCTTCAATTTGAACCAGCACAGTGTTTAATTCCTCGTATGTAAGGTTACAATTACCTAATATTCTCCGTAAATGATATTTTATTGACTTAACGCCTGCTTCCCAAAGACCGCCAAAGTGAGGGGCTTGCGGAGGAATGAAATGGAAATTTATATTTTCCTGAGCCAAATTCTCAGATAGTGAATTGCAATTGTCTTTTATAAAACGACCGATTTCGTTCTATGCGCCTACGAATGAAGTTCCGTTGTCGGAGTATATGTGTTTAGGTTTTCCGCGACGTGAAATGAATCGACGAAGTGCTGATAAGTAATTATTACTTGTTAGATCGCCTGTTAACTCCACGTGTACAGCCTTTGTCGCAAAACAAACGAAGATGAGAATATACACTTTCGTAAGCTTGCAACCACGGCCTTGACGACTGGCGGACATAATAGGTCCAGCATAAGTAGTGTAGTTGTACCACTTCTAGACCACCTGAGTCAGACGTGGTTCAACGACGTTCGTCGACGCCCGATCCTAAAAAAAAAAAAAAAAAAAAAAAAAGGTTTTGGCATGCTCTGATCACGAATCATTTTTGTGTAGAATGCACGGTTCCGGAGATGTGTAGATCAATTAGCTAATATCTAATTGATATCCGGTAAGGGCCTCCACCGTCATTAGCGTCCCATTGTTCCTATTTCTATTGTTCTATTGTTCCTTAATCACCTTCATTGCAGCGTGTGCGTCGACTATATCAGTGCTATTGTATTATAATTCTTTGTTTATACAACGCTAATCTGAATCATCAATAAAACACATTACATAATTTTGTTACAATTTTTATTTATAAAATACAAAATCTTATTAATTATTATCTATAAAATAGGAGCGAAACATCTCATCCACTAAAATATCGTTGTACAATGTGTTCCTTGTAAATATACTCGTAAAACTATGTATTGAACATCCTTGAAACTTATATAGTAAATACATTAAGCAATATTCGCCACAAACTGAAGTCCACTCATTCTGAATCCTATCAACATTCCAGTTCCATCTTTTACAATTCCTTTTTAAAAACTCTAGATGATATCGTACAGGTGATCGTCCATATGAATCAAAATATTGACCGACGTCATTCGTATCGATATATAAAGCTACCCAATGTGACCCTGGTTTATCATCTGTATCCAAATTACATATTATATACGTTGGTACGTGGGTATACATAGGCAGTCTATTAGCTGCATAAACATTATTTTCTAGACTGGGGTGAATCTTTTTCAGATGTTGTTGTACATCTAGTGTATCCATGATATTACTGCTATTAGTAGATTATTACAGTACCTAGCTACTCAATGAATAACATAGGAATGGTCAATTATAGTGATTTCTACATATTAAATTGCATTTTTGTGATATACAAATCGTACTTGAGTCATTGATCACCAAACAAAACACAATACGAAGAAATGTTGAGATAGGCAACGGAAATGTGAGATAAACTGATATGTTTCTAAATATTAAATTGCATTTTTGTGTTATACAAATCGTACTTGAGTCATTGATCACCAAACAAAACACAATACGAAGAAATGTTGAGATAGGCAACGGAAATGTGAGATAAACTGGTTGACGCATAAAGTAATTATCAACTCATTACGGAAATACTTTAGATTAGAATTTTTACGTACTGGTGGTATATAAGACCAACAAACGCAGTCATCGAGTTAGTGTACGGTCGTTTGGCTACAGTGGATCTATCAATAGTACATTTGTGTTACTTCAATACACCAAAGGCTATGGATGTAAGTGTTTATTCTATTGACTAAATTACTTTTTTTCTGTTATTTTCATGTGTGTGTATTATTTTATTTAAATATTGTGTATGTATATGATTAAGCCGTGGTAACTCAGATGGTTAGCGCTAGCTGTAAATTTCACAGTACGCGACCCGGGTTCGATCCCCGCCAGCACCAATTAAATTGTTAATAGCAATTTTAAGTGCTTATTACCACGTGCTTGGTGGTGAAGGAAAACATCGTGAGGAAACCTGCATGTCTGAGAAAATTTCGAAGGCATGTGAAGTTCGCCAACACACATTGAGGGAGCGCGGCGGACATTTCCTTGCTCTAAAACCCTCTCAGAAATGAGAGGAGGCCTATGTTCAGCAGTGGACTTTAATAGGCTGTAACTTTAACTTTTTTAACTTTTATGATTAAGTGTTAACAAATTGATATTAACATGATAACTGTGTTGTTGCAGAAATCATTGAGCTTCGATGAAGATACCTATAAACAGTATTACTACTCGCCACTCTCCCCTCAAGAAGAGAGTGATAACCTCGTCATTAATAATAACACATGCGATGGTGGAAAAAGAAAATCGCAATCGATTGATCATTTTTTGAAGCTGAATCAAAAATAAAAAAGAGGAAGCTGTTATCATCAACCGTAGCACGAGCCGCTAGAGATGGTGTATCATACATTTCTACTAATTCTGACGACGGAGACCAAGCGACGCATCTCATCAAAATTGAAATGTACGATATGAAGAAGCTATCCAAGATTCCAACTACTGATCATTGGAAACATGCTTCCACGAGAATTAAATATTACGTAAAGACTAATAAGGATAGCATCTACGACAACACAAACGCCCTCGTATACAATATAACAAAGACAATAGCAGAAAGTGAAAAAGTTAAAAAATACTTTTTTAACAATGACAGTCATTAGCTGATCATTAGTGAATGTGATTCTGTTTACTTCAATTACAGGAAGACAAGAGCGGAAGGAAGAGATGAGTGTGGCATACGTGTACAAAACACATCACTGAATAACAAAACTACAACACTGAGTGGAGAAGAAAACGAGAAGAGTATGCAGTACTCAAGAGCTGAATATCCATTCTTCAGTTCAAAATCTAGCCGTTTGCTTAGTTTCGAAAATTGGCCTCTAGTTATGCGACAGAAACCTGAAGATCTTGCAGAAGCTGGTTTCTTTTATACTGGCCATGCAGACGGGACCAATTGTTTCCATTGTGGTGGTGGTTTAAAAGATTGGGAAGATGATGATGATCCTTGGCAGCAGCATGTTCAGTGGTTTAGTCAGTGTGCTTATGTAAAATTTCAACTCGAACAGTGTTTTGTATTAGATTAAATAGAAGATTTATAAAGAAATAAAAAAAAATATATTGCATACAATTTGTTTTATTTAATTTTATAACGTTTCACATAGTTACATACACACAAAATGCATTACACATAACACATAAAATCTAACACACAACACATATTATAACCTTAACTACTATAGTCTACAGTAACATTTCTGTTTTTATCTATCTCAATAATATTATCAAACTCAGCATAAACTATACAGTTAATTGTTTGTATTAATGAGGATTCAAATCGTACTTCTATTCTTACACTACCATGCTTTATGAGATTCCAATGAGTTGATGAGTTAGCTGATAAATCAGGAGTTAAGTCAAATGCTAATAGACAGTAACCTTTGCCATACTGTTTTTTTTTTTTATAGGATAAGGGTGACAAACGAACACACAGTCCACCTGATGGTAAGTGGTTGCTGCGGCCCATAGACATCTACATCTATCTATTACAAATTAAAATGTAGATGCGTTGTCCCCGTGAGGACTAAGATGGAATGCCTCATTTCCAGTAAAAAGGGCCTCCGGCCACCTGCACTCACCAAGCGAAACGCAGAGGTAAACATCTACTTCACGCTGGTTTTCTGTGAGGTCGTGGTACCACCCCGGTTCGAGCCGGCCCATCCGTGCGACAGCAAAAGCTGCCGCGTGGCTCTACCACTGTTACTGTTCACAAGAGATTCCATTTCCTTCATTAAGAAAGTGAATACCAGTTCCCGAGAATAGAGTATAATATGCTGATGTAAATATGCTATTATTAAAAGATGGTTGCAAAGCTTTTGAAGGTATTTGTTGACCATCAATATATAAGCTGAAAGAATTAATACCATAGTTTTCAAAGTTAAATGGATTTTTAGTAAGGGAACCATTAAATGCAGAATTGTTCACAAATCCAATTATACATCTTTTCGGTACCTGTCCTAAAAATATATTATCAAGAGTTTTTCCTTGAACACCCGAAGGAATTGTTAAAACTTTTACTTCAGCTCGAGTAATAGGATATTTAGCAGTGGTAGAAGCTAAAACTTTTTGATGTGCGATTTTTGACACTTGGATTAATTCGTGCTCGTCGAACAATAAGAGTTGCGTCCGTAATACAAACTTTAAACTTTACATCGTTTGATCCAACAATTAAATTAAAACTCTCTCTTGATCGAACCAATTTAACACTCATTTCAACACCATTAATTAAAAATTTATCTTGGTTAAAAATGTCACCGTGAAGATGACCAATCATTTCTATTTCCTTACTTTCACTAATCAATTCCTGTCTTTTAACAAATCCTATGTTTTTACCATCTGTAGAATCCATTTTTCCTGCTGTATCCTCATACCAAAGACTACAAGTAAGATGAGATTGTTTAGCAGCAGGGGCATAGTTTAAAAGGGTTTCCATGTATGCTCGATATGCATAGGTATTATTAGGTGGTGATACAAGTTTTTGGTTTAAATAAACATCAAGTTGACTAAAAAGTGAATGCAGCCAATTATTTACAGGTGCTACTATTGTAGTAGATACCAAGTTAGTTGAATCTTGATTTAATACTTTTGCCTTTATGTGGAGTAATGTATGAGACAAATCTATGTAGTCATCGCCGGTCCCAGGAACTTGAAACTCGATAGGTCCATCATCACCAAGAGATGAAATTGGTTTATAATGAATCCACAATCCATTTTCAATGCTAGTTTGTGTAGACGGTAGTGCAAACAAATCCAATTCTGACTTAACGCACTCGCAAGAATGATTATGAAGGAAAGACATATTTAGTTTGAAAATATATCTTTGATATTTTTTGGTTTTAGACTAAGTTTTTTCACAGCTTTCACTTTAGCAGTTAATGGTGGAATGAACGATGTCAATCGTTTTCTTTTAGTTTTATACCCAGATCCAGTCATGTTAAATTGATCAATTTTCTCATCAGCCTTTCGTTTTAAATTCGTACTAACTTGCTTTAGACGATCTTTTATTGAGGCTTCCATAGGACGAGCTTGAACCATATCCGATAAAAGTCCTACTCCAGCGCTTAATGCCTCCTTACCAATCACTCGAGCACCACTTGAAAGTAAAGGTAAAACTGATCTGAATAACCCCCCTAAGAAGCTCCCAATACCATGACCGCGTTGATATGGTGAACCCTTATAAATTACTCCAACTCCTGATCCAGCTTGATGTGTATAATAATTTTCATATGGACATTTATGATGATCACGAAGAGAATTCATTATTATAATTTTCGGAAATGTAGTTTAATACACACGGTTCCAAACTGGAATGGTATTTTTTGTCCTGTACTCGATCTTATAACTATTTCCAACGTATCGAACTCTCTTCGCATAACAGGTAAGTAGTGAGGTTGAGAGAAAACGTGCATTTTATTTGCACCATAAATGTATTTTGTAGGATCTAATGAAATGACTCTTAATAAAGGAGTCATAACATCACCCACAATCTGAGGATCGATAATATCGCAATATAGAAATAGTTGAGATGGTAACCCTAAGTGTAAATTAGCAGGACACTTTCCAAAATTTCTCTCTAGGAGATTTTTATTTGGTTCATAACCTAGCTGTAAACTTAATTTGGGTGATAATGTTACGGATGTTATATTTTTATCCAATACCGAAATAGACACAAATTTTGTTATTTCATCATAGCGAAATTTCAAGTTCTCTCCGATACCATTTAACACTCTTAAAATATGCTCAACGTTATCATAGTTGGTAGCTGGATTATGTTTTTTGTAGTACACTGTGGATGGCTTATCTTCATTAGGCATTAACATAGATTTTGTAATGTATATAACATTTTCATGGTCTTGAACAGTAAACATGGTACATGGATATTGAAACTCGACAACTCCAACCGACCATTCACCTTCTAATTTTATAGCTTTTGGTAATTTCGTTGAAAAATTTGTGGTCTTGTTATCAGGAAAGTATTCCATTGAACTATTGCTGAGCAAAGTTAAATAGAAACTTTCTTTATTCATATTTCTTTTAAACTAGAAGCTAAAATCCAACTGTTAAATTTATCTGGATAACCTTTCCACTTCACTAATACTTCTTTTCTGTTACCCGAATAACGAGTGTCAATTATTTTATCTATTTTATGTTGTGAGGTGGGGTTGTAAGTGATTTTCTGTAATTCTCTTTCATAAAAAGTACCAATTATTGGTTCATTTTGTAAATCTGTTATTGTATAAACAACCCATGGAGATCTATCAATTATTGAAGATATAATAAATATTTCATCACTCCAATTTGATTCATATCCTTTTTGGAATACATGTTTATATTTAGTTATTCGAACATAATCACCCACATTGAAATTTGGTTTAGGATTTTCTAAAGAAAGTTTTTTTGACCGTCTATCATAAAGATTAGTCCAAACTGTCATAATATTGTTGGAATTTACATCACATGGGTACATCTTAATACTAGAGTGAAAGCTGTGATTATAAGAGTATATTAAATCTTGTAAAACATCTATATATCTATAAGTATTATTATGAGTGAAATAACGCCACATTTTCATTTTTAGTGTTCTTTGAAATCGTTCAACAATACTGGCCTTAATGTCAGGATTGTTAGTGGTATAGTAATTAATCTTTTTGGATTTAAAGTATTTTTGTACATCTTTTGAAACAAATTCGGTACCTTTATCGGATTGTATGTGAGTAGGTGTTAAATTACTTTCAGTAAATATACTTTCAAAACATTCTTTAGTTGTTTCTGAGTTTTTCTTTTTCATTGGTCTTGCAAAAGCATATTTACTAAATACATCAATAATACAAAGTATATACTTGAAACCATCATTATATTGAGAATAAGTTCGCATATCACTTAAATCAGCTTGCCACAGTTCATTAATATTTGATAGAATGTACCTATTACGCGGGAATTTTTTTCGAATGGGTTTATGTAATGTGTATGTTTCTTGTGATTTTAACCATTCCTTTACTTGCTTTTTATTCATTTTACCCTTCATGGCTTTTGATAATTTATCAATACTACCAAAACCAGCGGGATTAGATGGATCATAATAAATCCTGTTAATTTCTTCTAGTACGGAGTCCATTTTTCCCACTCAAGTCCTTTACGTATTTTAGTTGTAGACTTTTTATCTCTACTGCACGGTGTAGAAAACTCTTGAACTTCAATCTCAGAGGGTTTGTTCAGATCTTTTGCTTGAAGTTGGTTAATAAACTCACATCTCCTTGGATTTCCAATATAAGTAAGTGGTACTTTAATATCTTTTAATGCTTCAGCAAATCTAACCCACCCTACCGGATCACTTCTTTTTAGGGGTCTTAGTGAATCATTTATTAAATCAACAATATTACTTCCAGGAATTTTTTCACTATCAATTATGACTGTACCTTCGTTATCCCAATGTATTTTACTTTTACTTGTTTCAACTAAGTTTAATAATAACTGCCCTTTTTTATGATAAGTTTTTGGTATTAAACTGAGTATTTGAGCTGGTGTGTAAAGTGGATTTTCATCATTTTCTTTACTTTTAATGGATCGATTCTCCTCCAGCAAAGATTCAATATCAACTGAAGTTTTTAGATCTCTATCTTTATTTTTAAAACCAATTTTTGACTCATTTGAATCTTCATTAGATGTATCAGAATAAATTGGTAATTTGAGTGGTTGACGATCCTCTTCGGTAAAATGAAGGTATCTTTGCAGTGTTTGTAAATATAATATCCATTTCTTTCGGTCTTCCGTCTTACTATTCATAATATTTTGCATTTCAATATCTAATCGAGATAAATTACTATTAACCTTATTTTCTTGTTTTAATTTTTCAATCAATCCAGGTTCGATAAGTATCATTTTCTTTGCATTTTCCATGTTAACTGGCTAGACCACTCACTAATCCACTCAATATTGCACCTAATATTGTTGGTAAGAAAGCCCCTCCTTTTTGTATAATTATATTTTTTCTTAGTTTATGTTTACACTTACGTACTAGTTTACGGAGTATGTTTTTATGTTTATTCAATTTTTGTTTATCCTGATCTTTAAGAGGTACTTTTCCTTGTAAAATGTTATGAATACACTCACAAATACAGTTAATTTCTTCTTCATCACACGTTTTAAGTAATGCTCTTTGATATTTTGGTTTAAGCGTATGCAAAGCGGTTAGCAAATGTTTATACGTTGTGAGTCGACGATGCATCATTTAGCAATGATTTCAATTGTTTGATTCTTGGTGTATTTAAACTCTTTTGTGGGGACGTAGACTGTACAGAAACCATTAAATGGAAAGACATTTGTCTTGATACGACAAAAATCATTGGTATTCTGTTTTAAATCTACCATTAAATATCCATGCGCCTCTAGAGTTGCATCCCTGTAGGCATTTTCAATGAATTTTGGGTTATCTGGTGATACTTGTCTTGCTAAATATCTTATTTGAGTTTTATCTCGAGGGTTTTTAAAATATATTATATAACTTGAGTTTAAAGATATGTCTCTTTGTCCTTTACCCTGATGAAATAAATTTTGTGTTAGATAAAATACACTAAGATTCCTGTGATGACTACCTTTTGTAAATATATCCACAATTCTTCCATCGGACTCTCTCATTAGATCATCAATAATAACAAGATGTGGGTTTTCACCATCAAACATATTAAGATTTGGAATTCCTTGATGATAGTTAACATTTGGTAAATTATATAATGGTTGCATTTCATCAAAGCACCATGTGATCTGATTAAAATCACAATTACATATTTCTGTAACTGATTTTATGAAATTTGTTACAAAATTTGACTTCCCACACCCACTTGGTCCTGCCACAATAGCAGTGAACGGATGGATAAAGTGAAACATAACACACGTCTAAAGTTCAAAGGGGTGAAATAAAAAATGAAAGTGTTGGTGTAAACAATTAATATATATTCCAAAAATTATATAAAACAGAATTATCTGTATACTATTTCTAACACAATTAGTACATCATAATTTTACAATTAACTCAACCTCAAATAAATAGAAACAACAATTAGTACATCATAATTTTACAATTAACTCAACCTCAAATAAATAGAAACAACAATTAACTTAAATTATTTACAATAAAACAATGATTAAATATGTAATAAACTATGTCATATTATAGTATTATCATAATTTTACAATCAATATAAATTTTTCTTAAACGCAGACATAAAAGTAAAAACTATCAACACTTAACGCAGTTTATAATGACCCCAAGCTAATGTTTCAATATTATTATCTAAAATATGTCTCTTTGTGTCATTATATGATAAACCTATATTATTTAATTTTTGTGTGAAAATTGTGTGTTTAATTGATTTAAATCTAAGCATACTATAATATTGCACTTTTTTATTAAATAGAGAAGACTTATAACTATTCATTGTCATCTTTTTAGTGATACATTTATTTACCCCTTTTGCCTTGGCTATAGTCTTATTCTCTAAGTTAAAAGCGTACATTTTGGATCGTAAACCCACAAATTCTTTCATGATTTTACCATTATTTTCATCTTTAAAAAAACCTAATTTCTTTTTATTTAATTTTGGATATTCAAAAATATTATTTGTATCATAATCTGAGGTATCAAAGTATGATGAAAGGTCAGGTTTTATATCAGTGTAAAAATCATTTGTAAATATATGATATATTAAACTATCCGTATCTGTATACAATAATTTGATTTTACTAAACTTTTTAATCATATAGTTATAATGAAAATCATACATTAATGTTTTTGAAATATCT